ATGACGATTTCTTGGCGGCACGAAAGAGCCTTTTTTTTTTGTTAGACAGCCGGTTGAGGTACCTTGAATACCATGGCGCGTTGGATGAATGATAAACCTTCCTTACAGGGATATGCTTTTTTATTAGATGCAGTGCTTTGTCTTTGAAACACGTCCATATTTTCTCGACCGTAGCATCATTGTAAGAAAGACAAAAGCTGTCGAGAAATGAGGAAAGCTCGGTGTTGATAGCCTCAAAGTTGGTCTTATTGTAATCCTTTATAAGTTTAAAGCGATTGCTCCTTCTATTCCTCGGTACAGAAATGGAAAAATGTAGCACGTCATGGTCACTCAACCCTGGCAAGTGAGTTATTTCAGATGCAATATCTGGTGATGAGGTGAGTATCAAATCTAGTAGGTGTGATGTGCTAGGAGTAACACGGGTGGGAATACGCACTAATTGAGATAGATTGTAATCCAAACAAGTGGTTAGGAAATAACTCGTTTCAGCTGAAGCAGGCTCTGCAAACGGGCATGGATGAGACCATTGGATTGATGGAAAATTAAAATCTCCTAGAAGAAAAACTGGAATACCGGGAGTTAATGCCGAATATGACTTAGGCAATCATGTAATTCTTCGCAGAAAGAGCCGTTGGAATTAGGCGGGCGATAGCAAATGCCAAAAACAATTTTTTGAAAACAAATCGTCACGTAGCACCAGACAATTTCTAATCTACAAGGGATTTTCAGAAGTGTACATTGAAAACACTCATTCACAGCAATAAGGACCCCACCACCCCTTCTTTCGGAGCGATCACATCGATGTACAGTGAAAGTTTTGTGGCACTGAAAAAGCTCACTTGTTGCAATTTGATCGGAAAGCCAGGTTTCAGACAAAAGAATTATGTCAGCATCCGTGTCATTAATTAAAGCACTTAGGCGGTCTCTTTTCGGAATAAGGCTGCGAATATTAGCATACAGGATTGAAAGCTCCGATGGTGAAGATGAGCCACCACCCCTCACACTGTCCTAGCTAGTGTTAGAATAAGGACGACCTGATCTGGTCGCCCTAGGGCTAGAGGAAACGGCAACTTGTGGGGAAGGTGCCTCGCAGACGACGTTGGTGCGAGCATCATACACATAGCATTTATTTTGTGCATATAATTTTTTGTACCGCAACTTAAACGGTTTTTTTAAAGCAATGCCAAACTCTGTCAGCTTTTTACGAGCTTCACGAGTTGATACAGAGAAGTCTTCAGAAAGGCCAATGCCACTACCTCGTAAAATAGATTTCTTAGACAGTAGTAGCATTTTTGACTTGGAATTTGAAAATTTAGCAATGAGGGGTCTATTTTTACCTGCCAAGTATCTGCCTATTCGGTGTGCTCGTGCTATGTCATCGGGTGATAAGCGAACATCCAACCTGTCACGGGCCATCGTGATAATTTTTTCTTCTGACTGGTGCGCTTTCTCGTCTGGCACGTCAGGTAAGCCATAAAATAGCACATTATCACGTCGAGACCGATCTTCAGCCTCGTCAAGCCGGGCTTGTAGATCAATTGTCTCTTGTTCCACGCGAATTAGTGATTGGCGCGTGATAGATAGTTCTTGCTGTACATTTGGAAGATCGCTAATCCGTTTTTCTACTGTTTGTAGCCGTACGGTAATGTCAGCCACAGCAGTTGCAACTGTCTCATGGGAAACCTTAAGATCAGACAATGCCTGTGACATGCTCGATTGGTTAGTCTCGATTCTAATACAACGCTCATTTGTCTCTTTAACCAACTGAATTAGTTCCGTTAGGGTCTTGTCAGGCCCAGGGTTTTCCTCAATGTCCCCACAAAGCATAAGCAGCAAAGAAGAAAAAGGTTCAAGCAATGCTTCTGGGCACGGAAGCACAATCGCAAATCGGTCACTAGTCTTGTAACATTTGCAAGGCAAGAGAAAGGAATCACCAACCTGCACAACAAGAAAGATGTGCCGTAAGTTCTTCATTCTGTCTGTGCATCCGTGCCCACTGGCGGGGTGGCAAGTGGCGTGTGCTTTTAAACCATCCACTATCAGTCGTGACGATGTCACTGACGTTGTACTGCGTGGCTCATGGAAAGGGCAAGCCGTGGCGCTGTTGAGAAGACTGGGCGCGGCGCTTTCAAACACGCATGAAGAATCGGTGGCTGCGCAGATGACATCCACGTACGCAGAAGTCGAGCCGCAAAACGGAATTTCGACCGCGGGAAGCGATCGATGATCCAAGGGATGGCTTGCAAGAACGCCCACAATCTGCACAACAAGAAAGATGTGCCGTAAGTTCTTCATTCTGTCTGTGCATCCGTGCCCACTGGCGGGGTGGCAAGTGGCGTGTGCTTTTAAACCATCCACTATCAGTCGTGACGATGTCACTGACGTTGTACTGCGTGGCTCATGGAAAGGGCAAGCCGTGGCGCTGTTGAGAAGACTGGGCGCGGCGCTTTCAAACACGCATGAAGAATCGGTGGCTGCGCAGATGACATCCACGTACGCAGAAGTCGAGCCGCAAAACGGAATTTCGACCGCGGGAAGCGATCGATGATCCAAGGGATGGCTTGCAAGAACGCCCACAATCTGCACAACAAGAAAGATGTGCCGTAAGTTCTTCATTCTGTCTGTGCATCCGTGCCCACTCTGTCTGTGCATCCGTGCCCACTGCCTTTTTAATACGAGACGGGATGTACACAGGTGTTCACGATTGTCTTAAATCAATTCCATAATGTCTCAACGGATTCATATTTTGAGGCGGACTGAAATTCGTGAAAGGCAACTTCTAAGAAATCTAAAATAGAAGTGTCATACACTTGTGCAAATTTTTTCAATTTTTACACGGGATACAGACTTTGAGCGAGCACTTTTCTCTGTGGTAATATTGGTAACAACTAGCCGGTGGTCAGATATGTCCTCTTCCAATGACACCTTGTAGTCTTCCAACTGGCTTGATAAGAACACAAGGTCGAGCATTAACTTGGTTTCAGTAGTTATTCTAGTGGCTTCCTTCACGATTTGCGTAAGGTTGTGCGAAAACAATATCTTTAATAACTTATCTCTGCTTGCAGTTTCGATATTACCAGGTGTCAAGGTTTCCCAGTTAATATGGCCACATCTCTGGTCCTTACACGCCAATTTTTATCTCTATACGCCTTCGTAGGGGTGGCGCCAATGAGCAGGTCATAAGTTTATAGAAGAGGTCATGGCCCTAGGGGACATGCGAAGGCGATGAGGCCGTAAGGTGCTTCATCCCAAGCAACAAATCACGTCGCCAGTTGCCTCATCTGAACTGCAGATGAGAATTTTGTGCGTCAGCAGTGGACCCCCCCAACAAAGCTTGCTGCGCAGCGACTGCTCCCAGCTGCGATGGCAGCGGCTAGCAACGTCGTGAATCAGCGCTCCTAGTTGCAAGATCAAGCACGTTGGGCGTCGATTTTCTGTCACCGTAAAGCATAATTGATGATCAGACTGGAGATCGGCGGCCTTTGTTCTGAAATTTGTCCGTCGATATCTGCAACGTGCTGTTCCTGTCCCAAAAGTATGCCAAGCGCACGGTTTTTGAAGTTGAAAATTATTGAATTTGAGATGTTCGTCGTAGAAAGTCCGCTTTAAAGTACCGTAAAAACCCGCGTATAGTTCGGACCCGCGTATAGTCCGAGGTGTAACTCGGGGATAGCAAACGCGAGAAAAAACATTTTCACGCGAATATTGTTCGAGGAAAACAGAAAAAATGCATTTATTTACACACTTGAATGCGCACGCACGCGCGCGCACGATTAGTCGTCGTCTTCGTCTGACACACTGTCTTCCGAATCTCCCTTGTTCGAAATGTCCTCCCACGGCACCTCATCCTCCGTGAATGCGGGCCCACGCCTCGACGATCCACGAGCAGAGCAAAGCTGGCGAGGCCCGTTTCAGCCGAACTGCTGCTCCGCGGCACAGTTGCCGATGGTTTCGGCAGCAGAAATAACTTTCCTCTTAAAGGCAGCCGAGTACTGCCTGCGTGGTCCCGACATGGCTTAAAATCACGGAAGTAAAATCGTGGCCGTCGTGATGTGCGCCAAGTGTTTGCAATGGCCACTGTTGCTCGACTGATGCACGCCTGTACCTGTAGGTCTCTAGGAATAACGCCGCTCACGCTACCACGCCACCTAACGTATAAGTGCGCAGACACCTGATAATGATGATAGTACCACCAATGCCGAAACCAAAACTGAATTCGGGCCGAAACTTTTTTGGGATCCGCATATAGTACGGGGCTGAAATTTTGCACCCTAAATTTTAGAAAAAACCCCCGGGCTATACGCTGGTTTTTACGGTAGTCCTGACCACCTTGCAGGCCTCGCATCTTAGTCAATCATATCCCATTGTACCAGAATCCGTAGTAAACGAAGTTCAGCCAATAGAACAAATAGGAAGGTCGGTATAATGCTGCCAATTGGTATGTAATGTCCGCATGTCTGTTGTAAGCAGATCTGTTGTAACGAGGTTATACTGTACATGGTAAATAAAAAGTCCTATGAAGTCCACCAGTTTTGTCTGGCGTCACCTCCTTTCATGAGCCACCTCTCTTCACATTGGTTGGTGTTCCAAAATATGCATCTACACATATCTGTTTATATTTTTGTAGATGCTATCGATTACTTCTACCAAAATGGTGCGCATGTCCATGAAAATCATCTCGTGCCACTGCGTAGTGCAGGGTCAAGATGTGCTCTGGGTGGCTTTCTTAGCCGGAGAGGCGCTTTGCTGCCAGTGCCAGCACACTGTGTCAAAGGGACGTGTGGGCCTTACTCGTAACCAGAGTAGCTCTAAGACTACGCACCAATGATTTTGCTTCATCATCATTCAAAATCCACTGTGGTGAGAGGTAATAGTTAATAGCTTTTCCTTTAACATTGCCATAAAGTTGACATTGGCATCGTCCTTGTTTCTGCACTGCATATATTGGCAATTTCAACTGACTAGCCCAGTTATCTTCGAAGGGTGTCTGTTTCCTGCAGTTGACGTTCCTCATCGGGTGGCGTGAGTCACGCCAGTACCCGAACGTGATGGTCTTCTACATGAACCTGTGCCTGCTGCTCATGTGTGTCGGCTGGCTGGCCCAGTTCCTGCCTGGGGCCCGGGAAGACATCACCTGCCGCCGAGACGGGACCCTGCGCAGGGGAGAGCCCAGGTAGTTTGATCGTTATTTCACAGAAGCGGGTTTTATTTTCATTAGGCTTGTGCAAATATTCAAGCACTTTAAATATCCAAACAAATGTTTGAATCATTTGAATTGAAGTTATTGGAAATTTCAAAGTATTTGGTATGAGCGAACACTAGATGTGCATTAGTCTGCATGTGGTTATTGTGCTGCAATCATTATTGCAAAAAAAATTGTGGACAATCTCCCAGAAGGAAAGCATGATAGGGTGCGAAGCAGCAGCAGTGCGCACAGCGTTGACCCGGCTGAAACAAGTGTCGACACAATTGCTGGAAAAACGGTCTGAAGCGAAACTTTGTTTAGCATTTACTAGAGTAAACGTTTGTTCGAAAAGCAAAGATGCAAGGTTGTTTGGGTTTCGTGTAAGTTTCATCACAGATAAAAACTGTTTGCTCGATGTGCGCTCGAATGTTGCGAGCAGTGAAGCGAGTGAAGCGAAAGAGATGACATGCGGGGAGCGGCGACAGGCTAGGGAGAAAGTGGCGTCAACGCGCGCGTACTGCGAGAGAAGGCAGCGCCCCAACACCTGAGGCCAGGGGAGCGCGGTGTGGACGGAGGGACAGCGTTACACGGGCTAGTCGAAGAGCTGCTTCACATCTAATATTACTGTGGTGCAATACGTGGAATATATCACTGTATTCTTCAAGTGTGAGGTGGTCCAGTTCACCAACAATCATCACACCTTTGATAATACACTAAAACCTCATTGTTAAGTTGGATCTTACACAAAAATTTGTTTGAGAGGTATATTCCTAACAATATATTTATTGCCAGACTTTTCTTCATTTACTTTGTTGTAACCAATATTTCTTTATATCTGGGTTTGTTACTGCGAGGTTTGAGTGTACAAATTTTCTTGAAGGTGAAAATCTGTCGATTTTGTCAAATTAGAAGTATTTAGGTCCTTTATATAAGACTCTCTTTTCATGAAATTCATATCAGGTAAGGCTGGGCAAGTCCTTGTATTCATAAAGCCAAACTTCAAGAAAGCTCCTGCTAAGTTGAAGAAAACTCTTTACTTCTCAAATGTGCACACTATTTTAGAATATAAGAATAACTCCCATGAGTAGAGCAATTAAACCTTTGCCCTCAGTCCCAAGCGGCTGCGAAGCAACTGTCCAATGTGGTGGTCAGACCTGCGACACAGCGGAGAGTGCTAGGAATCTCTGGGTCCACACAGGCTGCCATTGGAATCTGAACTTGGCTACCTTCAACGCCAGAATGCTACCTAGTGAGGCTAGTCTTGCTGTGCTATACGAGGAATAAGAGGGTGTTAAATTGGTTGTAACAGGGGTCAGCAAAGTTAGGAGGACACGTGACCCTATACAGTGCTGAAGAGCGGGCACGACCTATGCTACCGTGGATTAGTTGACAGAAAAGAACTAGGGTTGGGGTATCTTATACAAAAGAATAACGCTGGCAGCATATGAAGGAATGCTACAGCACACGTGAAAGAAGAGCAGTGGTACAAGCCTGCTTTAATTGCCTCACAACATTGTGCATCTTTACTGACACTCGTTGGTGTTTCATCGCCCGACGTCACTGAGCTGATGCCACGTACACTTTGTGCTTCACTGCAATCCAACACAATGTCATATTGCTGTATGATGTCGTATTTCTTCCCGTTCAGTTTGAGGAAGAAGAGGCAAAAGTGACAAAGGAAAACACAGACAACAGAATGAGCATTTAACATTCAACTTTTACATAATTCAAGACCCTACAGCACATTATTGGGAGCCATAGAGTTTCCTGAAATTAACTAAAGGGGACTCTGGCACTGCGATCGTTCAGCGACCATGGGAATGATGGGTATTGAACAGATTGGCCTAGTCTTCACGCTTGCGGGCGGCAAACACACTTGTAGCTTTTTATCCCTGTGTTTTGGTTTTGTTTTGAATGAAAGAACAAACTGTTTTGAACTTCGTGAGCTTATCGGAATAGGTGATCCTAAAAGGTGAACGTGGTGAAGTGTCAAACTGACGAAGTTGCCGAACATTCGCCGTTTGTTGTTTTGCGACAAAGCAGCTTCAAGCTTTGTAAAGTAAGAAGGAACTTGAAGTATGAAGATTAGGCAAATCTATGTACTACACGTAATTCCCATGCTCCCATCTAGTACCGGACGCGTTCGAGTGAGCCTAATGTGAATGAGCCCTTATAAAAGCTTCACAGTACCAATACACTTGACTTATAAAACTGAAAGTGGTGAAAGAACTCGGCATTCATCTTCAGATGTGCAGTTCACTCAGTATCCACTCTTCTCTTTTTTTTTTTTGATCCTCCATTTATTTGCAAAGATGTTGTGTCTGGAATTGCAGATAAAGTGTTCGGTATGTATGACTGTGTACTTCGTGAATTTGTAGGTATGGGGCCCGAGGCCCACCACCGGAGGCGCGAGCGCTGCAATCGCTGTGATTTGTATGGTTGGATCGCGTGATCTCGCCTTGTTTTGGCGAAGAAAAGCTGGCGGTTGGATGTGTTGTTTTTATTGTGACTTCGCGGTGTTTTTATTTCTGAACAGCGTTGTTTTGCTGTGACTTCATGTGTGTGGACTTGTGCAGACTACACAATTCGGAAAGTTGCAGTAAAAGTTACCGGCGGCATGCCACAGTGTGCAAGATACGTAGGTGAGAGCACTGGCATGGCCGCTGGCAGTGCCTCTGTCGTCATTCTTTTTCTCTGTTGTTGTGGTTGTTATATCGAGCTTATGGGGTTAAAATAAACAGTGACCATTAATTCTCACAAAAAAGCAGAACGTTTCAGTTTCCACATGGCATCTTCGTTCACAACGTAAAATGATTGTGCAAACAATCCAATTATGTATATTTCAAAATAGGACGTAAGTGTGTACATGTGGAGGAAGTTGCAGTCATTATATTCAAGAATGTGCGCTGTTGTCTGAATTGTCAGAGTCAGGATATAGCCCGGAAGTCCACTTCTTTTCCTTTAATTTTCGGTAATTTTACCCTATTCCGGTCTATTTTTGGCGAGATGCTTCTGCGTGTTCAGCCAGTGCATTCAACGAAACCTTCTTTCTTAAATCGTACATGTGCCGCAGCAGTGTTTGCTAAAGCTTACTTCTTCGCCAAGGTATCCTAACCGCAGTCGTGCCACTTCTGCCCTCCTACCCGGCTGTCCGTCTCCATGTATGCACCCGACCACATGAGTTTCCATCCACCAGTATTGTAGCCAGGGGGTGGCACACCAAGCCCATGCGCCCCCCATTTTTCCCCAGGGTGTATAGCTCACAAAATATCAGTTTACCACATCTGCCTGCCCGGGCTCAATTCTAATCAATGTGGTACCCCCTTCATATTCACATGGTTCCTTGCTCATATATTACGTTTGTAGAATGGGCCCATAGCCACTGTCCCTTTATCTGAATGCTGTTTTAATCTACAGGCAAAAACATGGTTAGCTTCAAAAACTGATTCATCTTCCAAGATCGGTCGCGAAATATCACACAGCCTATGAATGAAGCTGTAAAGAAAAATAATTAGACACCGGGGATTTCACTGAAACATGAAATTGTCGTTCAGATCACGGTAAGCAAGACCTCGCAGCAGGCTTATTCAAGAGTGCAAAATGATACGACTAGCTGATTGCATTTTTTTTGTCATAATTTACCCCTTGGTAGATGCTCTCGAATTGAACCAATCATTCATAATTCGTTTTCACCCATGTGCGGATCGATGGTGATCGAATGTGCAACGAGTGACCACCGTAGAAATTCCGCACAATAAGTATTAGTCCGGCCGCAGAGAAAAGTTACAGCTCTGAATGAGGCACGTGCGTGCGTGATTCTCACGTTTATCCACAATCATAACAGAAAAGTTGTGGCTGTAATAATGCTGTGCTGCTTCCCACAGAGCGGGGAATCTGCTTGTGCTGTGCTTCGTAGCGCTATGTGCCCTAAACAAAACTGTAAATTTGACCATGCTTGTCATGTCAACCGCTGCCCGTCTTTAGACGCAAACCTACAATAAATGAAATAGAGTGGTTGCGGGCATTTCTTGCTGCAAGGATGAGTTTCTTTACTGTTAATACCTATTTGATGCTTAATTTTGACGCGGAATGACTTCTTACCTTTTACAAAAACAGGGCGCTCGGCCTCCGTGGTTTTCATTTTTGTGGCCATATAGCAGATGCCACCGGCACCCAGGCATTACGAGAAGAGCAATGCTTTTCTGGGGCAGTTATTTAGCACTTCTTAAAGTCAGGAAAGAAGCTCCAGCAGTATTTTACTGATTTCGTTGAGTGAAGTACCACAAGAATAATAATGAAAAAGAGAAGATGAGAAAGCGGCTGCGCACGGGAGGGCGGCGGAGCAATCCAACCACGCATGTCACAGGGATGCCTCCGCATGGTGGCGCTGTGGTATGTCCTCGCGACCCAACGTTTCTAGAACTAGGTAAGTTGAAAAACTGAGCGATGTTGCGCGGTGCTGCCGCTGCCAGAGACAGATGCGCTGCTGTCGCATCCGGATTCACTCACTGCATGCTCGCTCGTGTCACTCCCATAACCTCCGTCGGCTGTGCATGTTGCAGTGCGTCGCTATCCGTGGAGGCTTCTTTCTGCGTGAACAGTTTTGTGCTTCAGCATGCCCTGTTTTGCTTTGTATGTGTTGTGTGTTTTCATCATGCCCACAGGTTTGCTTTCCTGGCTGTACGAGTGGCTACACGAAATGAGAGACACCACGACATTTCATTTGTGCACCGTGTGTACCACAGCAGCAAGATGCGTGGGACCATGCTATTTCTCGTGCGGATAAGAAACTACCCAGCACATCACGTGTGTGTGATATGCACTTTCATGGGTAAAACATCCTGAAGACTTTCACTCACGTCATGAATAGTGTAAGAGTGTACAAATCACCAGAGGAAAGTGGGAATTGATCGAAAGATGCGTTCCACGCATATCCCAAAGTTGCCCGCTTACCTTTAATAGACTATCTCCGAGCACTGAGCCCGAAG